TTATTGATATCAAACGAATAAAAAAATGGGTTCCTTAGCCTTGGACATAAGGTTGGATCTTTCTTTAACCCTTGCTGGCTTTAGAGCCTGGCAGATGTATGGCTTATCAATCACCATTTTAGTGAGAGCCACATCTTCTATATCTGCTGATTCAGTTTCATTCTTGCTCTCGTCAGCATCAGCCCAACGAACTTCACCCCGTCGACCATACCTTTTGTCTTTTTCCTGAAGGAGACTTTCATGCTTAGTAGCTATGGTTGACAACTGGAATAGATCTGAATATGGTTGTCCAACCATTCTTTCTCGGATTTCAAACTTCAGTCCATTAAAAGCGAGATCCGCAAAAGTCTTTTCAGGTAAAGGGACTAAACACTTATTCCTTGCCCTTTTAAATTTGGAAATGAACTGATCGACAGATTCGTTAGCTAACTGTCTCATGATCGAGAGATCAGCCACCGACAAATCTGGTACATCCCTTTGAAATTGGCAATGAAATAACCTTTCCATTTGTTCCCATGATGTAACCGAATTTGCAGGTAAAGCGGTATACCATGTAAACGCGGTTTTTGACAAGGATAAGGGAAATAACCTCAGCTTCCAATAATCAGCATGAGCCGCATCACCACATTGAGCCAGAAAACGATTAACATGTTCAAAAGTGGACTGATGTTCCTCTCCAATGAACAATGTAAATTCTGGTATTTTAAAACCCCTTGGATATGGTATAGTATCCATCCAATCAGGATATGATTTTTATAAATGTTTGGGAGGTATCCCATATTATGGCCAAATCCCCTCATCACGGGGTCCACTACTAATGGATTTCGTACTTGACCCACGACGGGCGCAGGAGCTACAACATAATTAGGTGGTAATGACTGGTTCAGATTTTGATGAGGCAATTGGTAGAATGGCTACTGTGGTAACTGTGGCTGTTGTTGAGGTGGTGGCTGCATTAGCTGTGACACGTTGTGAGCAATCATATGTGGGTTGATTGATGGGTTTAACTGTGCTGGCAATGGTTGCTGGGCTTCAACATTTGGACCCATAGGGGGTGGAAAATGCTGATTTACGTTAGGCACTGGAGGTTGGGGTGGATGACATTGTGGTTAAATGTTTATCTGTTGGATCTGTTCTTGGCCCCTAGACAAAGGTGTTGCAAGATTCTGAACATCTAGGACTACAGGTGGAGGATTTACCTGGATCACAGGGAGGCCTTGTACCTGAGCAACCTGATGTCCTCTTTGGAGGTTTTCATCGATCACCGATTGTCGAGCAATTCCTCCATTTAGGTCCGCGCTAGCGTGCGGTAATTCTTCGCTGGGTGCTATTGGCAAGGTTTTGCCCCTTGGTAATATTCGAATGGGTGGGATCGTAGACGTAGTTTGCATCATTGTTCCAAACTGTATTGCAGGACCCCCTAATGCTAATGGAGACGCTATTCTCAGTTGGGTCGGTGCGATGGACCCTCCATGTTGATCTTGCGTGCATTCATGATAAATGTTAATGATCAAAGGCCTAACCACTTCAGTCATACGCTTTACCACATAATCAGCGAACTCGTTCTGAGTTTCTTCAATAGTCCGCCTCATGGTAGAAAGTGCAACTGGTATGAGCTCAGTTTGCCTTCTATCTTCAATAAGCTGCCTCGACATATTTGCGACCTCCTCTCGAGATTGATTAGCAACCTCGGTATGAAGAAGTTGAGCGGATGATGTCTCAGCACGAGTATTATCTTCCGTCATCGATGCAGTTTGTTCGTTAGTAGTATTATCCGAGTTGGTTCTACTCCGGGTGCGTGGCATAGCACTCTCTCAACTTAACTCAATAATAGTCCCACCGGGCGTGCCAAAAAGATGTTTCGCCGGTTTTTACTCCGTTGAAAATCTTTCACCGAACGCTGCGTTTCAGATTTTATTAAGGGAGACTAGGGTCTTGAGTCAAGCTTGGACAGAGAATGTCAAATGCGTTTATTAATCCCAATTTAGATTTTACACCCTGACTCGATATGATGCCAACTCGACAATACTAACAATGAAACAACAACTTGCAAATGTTGAAATTAAGCTATGTTGGAATCTAATCAACGACACAACTAATATGCGACATTACCATTCAAAGTACGCCAGAATTTAATCAATGACGTAACTTGAGAGAATATGGCTGGAATCTAATCAACAGCTATATTCCAAACACAACGCCAGAATTTAATCGACGACGCTGAACTAGTGGCACAACATTGAAATTTAATCAACAATGCTGAACCCGATAAAGACCCTCGTCGGAATTGAATCTACGACACAGAATCTGAAGGTTGCAACTAAAACTACTCCTAATGCGCTAAGAATAAAAGCTAGATAAAAGATGTGTTGTGTTATTTTCTCGAAGAGGTCCTTTCTACGTTGGAAATCCTTGAGTATTTATAGAGCAGCTTGATAACTGTTGACCGAACACTTCTCCTTGAAAGTCGTTTTCCACTTCCTTACGTTTCGCGCTTTAACCGCTTCCTGACTTATCGATGTTGCTTACGCTCCTTGGGCATCACGTAATAGCTGATTTTCTTCCACGTGTCTCTTTGTTTCTTGCTATTTTCTAAGTGCCATTCTTTAACTTTCTTGATCTTCACGCCCACGGTCATATCTTTACTTTCTGACACGTGTAAATGGATTTTTCGCCACGTGTCACCATGATTTCAGACCACGTGCAAAACTTGTTATTTTGGACTTGTCGACGTCACGTGCAAAACTCGTGATCTTGAATTTGTCGACATCTCGTGAAAAGCTTGTGATCTTGAATTCGTTGGTGTCACGTGCAAAGTTCGTGATTTCGGACTTGTCGACACTTCCATGACGTGTCCCGTCGATATTTACCTCAAGTCTTCTCAATGCTTCTGGGCCTGACTCACGCCCTTTTATGGATTTATGCCATGTGGGCTGTACTTTATATTTTTTGTGACTTGTAACCAGCCCGCTCCCACCATGGGTAATTTTGAGTGTCAACACCTTCAAATCTTTTTCTTCCCTGGAGAGACCCTCTATTTATTTTACATCTCGGTATTCCGAGGTCCGGACATGGACCAAGATAGTAGTAATGTAAAGATGGAAATCCACGATGCGCGCACGCGTTAGGATCGATGCTGAAACGGACAGCCTAATGCATGCACGTTCAATCCCACATCGGCGAACAGGTCATGGATGAAATTGGGGAATCCAACAGCAGAGCGTACCCTCGGTTGGACGGAGAAGACAGATTAGGTCGATGGCGTAGCTAGATCGGGCTAGCATAGTACGAGGAACATCGAACCGAGTATGTCCCAAAAAATGATCTAAATTAAAATTAAAATTAAAAACAAATTTTAAAAAAAGAAAAAGAAAATAGAAAAGGAGGAGAGGGACGATGAGTTGGCGCGATTCATTGAAGAGATATGGATTGACACGACTGTGTAGGTTAATGCGTGCCCGATGTTTGGCCCTTCGCTCGAGGAGAAAATATTCAGTGATTAGCAAACACTTCCGGTCATTGCGATCTAAATCAACATCACTCGGGACGCGGTACCGGACGTGTCGCCTTTTGCCCCCGTGCTGTTGTTGTCCTTCGTACCACTCTTCATGCCACAACGAGATAATAGCATAAAAGATTCGTTGATTCCAATCCAATGTGCGATGTTGTCCTTGAACATTTTGTTTGTACTATCGATATGTAACGTCATCCCTAATTTTTTTATTTGTTTAATATGACCCCTAAATTATTGATAAATTGTTCGATATAGTTCTTAAGTTATATGAAAATGTTTTAAAAGTCAAAGATCGCATTGAATATTGAATTAAAGTTCATGCACTCATTGAATAAATTAAAAGTTTAGGGACAACATTGTATATTTGACCAATGTTTAGAAATCGCATTGAATAAATTAAAAAAGTTAAAAGAAATTTAGAGATAATTTGTGTTGTTTTTCATAAAAGATTGATAACGTGAAGGAAAAAAAAAACAGAAACAAAAATACAAAACGGAGGCGGAGATTGCCGTGTCTAACGAGAACCGTTGATTGATGACGATGGCTTCTAATGATCCAACGGCGACGCCTCTCATCCTAGATGGGGGCTGAAAACGGAAAAATATGGAGAGGGCCCAGATTTCATTTATGGGCCCAATTTCCAGGCCCCAATTAGAGCTTTTTATGGGCTTTGTGGGCCCCCATGTTGAAGAGGACGTGACGTGGCATGGCTTCTTGTCATATCATGACCTGTCGAGATCCTATGCTGTAGGATTTTTTGTTTTGTTTTGTTTTGTGTTTTGGTTGCTATCCATAATAAACAGTCCCTGTCAAAGGCAGACTCGAAAGGGCCCTAAGGAGTTTTCTTTCTTTGGCTACTCCCGGTTTACGTTGGCCCGCCTTACACGAACAGTTGGATCGCGTGGATCGTACGTGAGCCTGAGCGCATCTGACCGTTCATGTAAAGCGGGCTAACGAAAGCCGGGGGGAATACCCGATAACTTCCCTTGTTAGTTTACACGTGACAACAACCCAAGCTACCAATCACGTCGTCCTTGTTATCATTGCTACTCGCCAATATTCCTTATTGTTGAATGTGAATAACTCTGATTGATTAAGCTTCATGTTGTTTGCCTTTTAGAGTTTTACCGGACTTTAGGGGGCTTATGTGACCCCGAGGGACCTAAGAATGATACACTCGTACATGTTTCAAATTAGGCCGAATGGGTTCTTATTCTATTATACTAAGACTAGATGACTATTTCTCGTGTAATATGATTGATTCTACCTTCATAAAATACCAGGGTTAAGGCACAAGCTATGCATATAGGTGGTTACGCATAGATAAATTGTAAGCGGTGATTACTTGGTTGGTTAAGGATGCGATGTGAAGAAAATTTTTGGAAATATGTGAGTGAGACAAAAAGCTAATTTTCCTTCAATAGCATAGATGATAGATACTAGGCAAAACTCAAAAGCATGGGGAGATAGGGAAGATACATTTGCATGATGTGACAATATGTGATCTCTTCTGTAATTAATGGAATATCAGTTGCTACCAACATAATACAAAGCTACCCAGAGATCCCCCTCCACAATAAGACCCAAGTCCATCCAATCCCTCCCTTATAAAGAAGGACCAAAAACAGAGACAAGCAATTACAATTTATAAACGATAATAATTGAAAAAAAAAATTGGGTCAAAAGTGTTGTCTTTGAGTTTTCCTTGGCTTCTACACTGCATCAGATAAGAGTTTCTTCAACAGTCTTCTTCCTCTTCTTTTTTTTTATCACCTTTTGGAATCTACTACTTTCAGAAACCAACACCTTTCTTCAAACTTAAACAATTTGGGCTTCATGTTGTGCAAAATCACAAGCCTCTCCCACCAAGTCCGAGGCCTTCGTCGACTCCCTCTCCCAATCAGTCTTGTATATCACCAACAACATTGAGGCCACGCAAGCAATCTGAGCTGCCAAAAGCCCATAACAAAGGCCCAAAAACCCCAATCCCCACACAAAGGCCAAGACCATGGCCACTGGTGCACCCACTAGGTAAAAAGAGCAGAAGTTGATGGCTGCCCCAACGCCAGGCCTTGCACTCCCTCTAAGAACCCCACAGCTTGTGGTTTGTGGACAATTTGCAAGCTCACACAGTCCTATTAATGGCAGCACAACCATGGTCAGCTCTAGCACCTCACTATCACTCGTGAACACTGTTCCCCAAGCTCTCCTACCTAAGGTTGTCCATAGTAACCCAAATAGTGAAGCCACCAATGCCAATCCTAGGGCAGTAATGGTCGCCAAGCGTGCCCTATATGCCCGTCCCGCTCCGAGCTCGTTCCCGACCCTGCTCGAGACCGAGGCGCTCAAAGCGGTCGGTAGCGAGTAGAGGAGCGAGGTGGTTTGGATTACGATTGCGGCGGTCGCGAGAGCGACGCGGGGGCGAGGAAGATAGCCGGCTAGAATGGTCATGAGCTCATACCACCACCACTCCAAGCAAACTCCTAAACAGCTAGGAATGGCGAGGCTGAGTAGTTGCTTCCATTCCTTTTTTAGTGAGGCATTAGAGGTACCTAAAGAGATTGGCCACGGGCGGGATGATGTTAATAAAACTTTCATATCAATCTCCTCCTCATTGGGAGTGATGGTCCTAGTCCTAGTGTAGAGCATGAATAGAAGAAGAAAAATGAGGGTGTTGAAATTGGTAGCGAAGTTCGAGATAGCGATGCCGGGGATGCCAAGATCCAAAGTGAAGGCCAAGAAGATGGTTAGAGGAACGTGCACAAGAATAGCTAGTAAGGAGCACCACATTAGTGGCCGTGTGGTCCCTTTGCTTCGGAGATAGATACGAGATGGATGGAGAAGGCTATTGGCCACAAGATCGGGCAGTGCGAAGCGGCAGAAGAGGCCGGCGACCCGCGCGATGTCAGGGCTTTGGTTGAGGATGAGCATGAGGGACTCGAGGTTGACCCACAGGAACCCAATCGGGATGGAGGCAAGCAAGAGCATGAGGATTGTCCTTCGTAAGGTCGAGTGGACTAGGGACAAGTTGTTGGAACCAAAAGCCTGGCTGCACAAGGGCTCCATCCCCATGGCGAGGCCCGAGAGGACGGAGTAGCCGGTTATGTTGGTGAAGCCGATGGCCAGCGCGCCCCCCGCCAGCTCGAGGCTCCCGAGCCTCCCGATGGAGGCCACCAAGACCATGTTCTTGAGATAATTCACTATGCTCACTGCCAGAATTGGGATACCAATGTCTGCCATTCTCTTCAGCTCCTCCACTGCCTGTTAAACAAGTCAAGAACAAGAAGATTCAAGAACAAGCATAGGCTTAACATAGCAGAGTTCTGACATAATAAAATTTCAAGGATTTCATAAGGGTCATTCGTATATACCTCGGGCACTGTTGGATATTTTTTATCCTGTTCTGCTTCAACCATACTTTTCTTCGGGTTTCTGTTTGGCACACTTTTCTCTGTTCTTGTCTGGTGTTTCTGTGTTGTCGGAGAGAGTGAAGTAGCAAGGAGAGCAGTATTGTGCAGGAGGTTTCTGTCGTTGTTAGGAACAATCGAGATATCATCTTGGTTTTTATAAGGTGGCAATGCATGGTGGTGGTCTAGTGGCTGAGCACAGCAACTTATCATCTGTGCTTCCTCTCTCTCTCTCTCTCTCTACAGAGACAGAGTCCTCCATAATATAATCAGACCCTTTTAACAATCAATCCTAATTGAAGATATAATGGGACATACACCAGCCATAAGAAACGACCCATAATCCAGAATTTAATGTGCAATTAGACGGCCACTTGTATGCCTACCAGCTCTTGCAAAACCAAAACATATTCAAAATCTCTCGATTTGCCCAATCAATAAATAACGAGTTAACACGACTCGTCCAAAGACGAGCATCATGGATCGTTTTAAACTAAGGTGATAAGAGCAGAGTCATCCACGTTCCGCCACTTCAAATCTTGGCTTGTCATTTTTCCAGCATCAACGGGCATCTATTGAAAAAAAAATATCGATAGCACACACATGCTGTATTACTAAAACTGGTATGATCATGTGAGGGAACATGTCAGTTGTTTCGATGCATCTCTCAAGGTTCCTTTTCTCTTATGTATATGGTGACTGAGGACAACTGTAAGGCATGTGCTCCACCGTAAGCTTCTAAGATATCCCCCCATGTGTTTCTTTTCCATAAGTGTATGAAAGGCACTTGAACTGGATGATCAATTTTACAAGCACTTCTTTCTCTCTTTGTTTTGGTAGAAGTACCAAAAACTACAATTTGACTTTTAGGATATGCCAACCCTTATCCATTGGAAACGTATCATATTATATGATGTGGTGAACAAAACCTATCAAAGCAAAAACGAATTCATATTGATGATCGTGGGTTAGGGTCCTCGTGCGAGTGTCATTACTTCAAGTTAAGTGATGGCTTGATCTAGAAGAAAGAGAGAATCTTGAGTCTATATTAAGAGGAGATTGATCGTCCTGATTAGTGGGTTTCTTTTGATCATGACGATATGGCCAATTTTCCGAACATATCATGCGTTGCGAAACTCAATGAGTCTTGACTATATGGGCAAATCGTGAATATAATCACATTATCATCATAGGAAAGCGCGAAACATTTTGCTAAAGTGAGATATTTCCCCACTCTTGCGTAGGGCCTCTAAACAATAAGCAGGAAGTGGGAGGAGGGTCTATTGCTCTGCATTCACATCAACCTACAAATCAAGCAATTTTTGGTTAATTAGATCACAAGCAAAGAGCCCTTTCGCTTTGTTTTATTAAAAAAAAAAAAAAACCAAGCACGTGGAAGTCTTTTCTTTCTTTCTTGCCTTTTCAATTGATTTGCAAGATGATATCTTGCCCTGCACTTCTGAACTTTTCAGCGTGGTCTGGTGTTAACAATAGCGAAAATCTCAAAAGCTGCACCTGCACTTATGTGACTGTTCTAGGTCTCTTGATTCTGTAATGTCATGGTTCTATAGCTCATCACGCTTTTGAGTTTGAACTGCATGTTGGAAAAAGCCGTTTCAACACTTCAGTCAAAGATTTTGGACGGCTGCCTATCCAATAGGAGTTTTAAAACATTTGAACCGTCACATGGTAATATTTCATGGTATATTCCTTCCTAACCCTAGTTCTACTGTGGAAAAGCTAGTTTTACTGATGATGGAAGTCCTCTCTCTCTCTCTCTCTCTCTCCATAATGACCTAAGTAATCAATGCTAACTTGAAAATCCTTGGCCTGTCACACTTGAATGGAGCCACATGCATGTGCGTCTAGTTACACCAACTAATCTAAAAGCCATTCTATCCTCGTCAAACAATCATTATGCCCGGCTTCATTCTATTGTTCTCCCCATTTGATTTCATATAATCTCTTTACCTGAGCGTGTTATACGAATCGACATGCACTTAGTACATAACGGACCATCTCGGATATCTCTTCAAATGTCTTGAGACACCGTGACGATTCGTGTGAAGCACGCCTGTTAAAGTAATAGACATGCTTTCGTATCGATAAATTGACGGGAAATGCACTGCTCTGGATAACATTCTTCTGTGCACACTGGAAAACTTGACTTGATATACAAGGCAAAGTAGGGAAAAGATCTCATGATAATATGAACGGGTCATTCTTGTGATAGCAACACTAGCCTTTAGCTTCTCATCATGACGAGAGGAGCTGGTCAACGGTAACATCTCCTTTGCATTTGATTTAGATTTGTTAATAAGCTTTTATCATTGGTCCCAAGGTCGGTCTCACCTATAGCAAGCAAGAATAGCTCAAACCACCACGAATCCAAAAACACAAAAAAAGGAGGAGGAAAGAAAACATCAAACAACCATTCTCCCCCAACCAATGACAGAGCATGGATCATCAAGTAGTCTAAAGCTCAATCCTTCCATTATTGACTAATATCTAATCGACCACCCCCATTAAACTTTTTCCCCCTTCCTCTTGAGTATCTCGAGCTTTCCATTGATATCGATAGCAAAAAATGTTCGGGTGTAAGAATTTGTGTACACAAGCACGCGCATCTAGAAATTGTCGATCATTCATATGGCACGTCGGATACGTGCAGTTGGATTTCGTGAACATGTTTGCCGCTCTCTAATGTTATTAGAGAGACATAACGAGAATCAAAAGTAATGTCGCCGACAGATGATCAAGAATCCTATTTATAATTTGACTAAAAATTGTTAACCTACATACGTCTCCCCTAACATTAAGTGCCACTGCCCCACTCCCATATATAGCCACTCTCTTCCTGTTAGAAAGGCAAATGTTTCATAGCCAACGGGTATAGTCTAAATAAGTCATCAACCATGAGCTGGTCAAGAACATGAGATGATTACAAAGATGTACTGAATCAAATTAGGGTTTCTGGTGGGTCCATGAGCTTGACATTTCTTACTAGATATAGCACTATGATCACATCGTACACTACTTGGTCAACTTACTTTGTTTTATTTGGATACAAAGTGTGATGGTCTCCTCCCAACAATCGGAAAACGTTAGTGGGGGAGCATCTCCGTCAATGCTCAAAGACATCGTCCACATTGTCTGGTCTCATCAACTTGCCATGCTAATAGTGTTTACATCTACCTATTTTGCTCATCCTTAATCTTGTCAAAAAAGAAAAGAAAAAGCACACACCCAACAACAACAAGAATCAACGAGTTGATGCTGCTCACCATTCCACCATTTACAATCTTGGTATATAAGAATAGAACTAACGATCCATTTCCTTGAAGGAAAACTATTTTTGGAAATTTGTTTTCCAACTTTCTGGTGTTTGGATAATGAAAAGCTAATCGATTTACGGAAAATATTTTCTATGAACTAAAAATAAGAAGTTTTAGGGGAAAACAACTTCTCTTTCTAGTAAGAATGAAACCGCTTTTCTTAAACCACAAAACAAATGAAAACTAAATAATTTTCTTGAAAATGATTTTCATGAAAATATTTTTCTATATCACGAAATTTTCTGTGAAACAAATGCATCCTTGAGATCGGTTGATCTTATATATGATGAGTCATAAGTTGTTAAAAAACTAATTTGTTTGATGGTCCTTACACCATTTTTCCCGGGATAACATGGGGGTATCTGACTTTTAATCACTCATTGTTAAAGTGTGCTACCATTTAAATCGTCTCAAGATATTCTTGGCACAGTACATTGCGCATCAACATCAATTGAGGATGTGAATGATCCCAATTCAATGTGTTTGGCTTTTGCTACAGAGCTTGGACATTTACTACGTAATGAAGAGAAAAAATGTTTTCTTTACAGATGTCCAAAACCATCAACAGGACTTATTTTTTGGGAAAGCACACAAACCGTCCTATCCATCCATGTGCATTGAGCAAAAGTACTCCAGCACGGGATAGTGGGCATGTCCTCGAGGTTTCATTGAATGATAAACGTCGCGATTTGAACATGGATCCACCATATTTGAACCAAGTACTGAATCACTCAGCTAACATCTAGAGGATGAACAGAAACTGCCTCGAAGAATCGAAAAAACGAAATACGATAAGTTAGTAGTATACAGGTACTGTATCATTTCACAGACATGTCGAACACAGACATTTCATTCATGTACTTTGTATCTTCGAAAGTTCAGAACACTTGCTAGCGCATTGCAGTTTAGCCATATCCTTTGTCTGTGCTTCCGTAAACCCATCTTTATAAGCAATTTAAACATCAATTACTGCAGAAGGAGAGAGAACCAGTGGGATCACGTCGTTTTCGAGCTGATCTTGACTCCACGACCCATCATTTTTCTTTCCAGTTTAGACGCATGGAAAGCAACCCTTCCAGCTGAGGATTGAAAGGGCATATTCTCAACTACTGCTAGCTAGCTAGAGATGCTTCCCGGATCTGTCAAGTGTCAAGGAAGGGGCTATATACCAGAGCACATGCGTGGGCATGTGAGACGAACACGCCTTTAACTTAATCTAGCAAATATGCTCACTCCCCCCTTTGCGATGCATTGTACTTTTCGCAAAAAGCATATGAAAATCCAAAGTGTTTCGAGGAAGGAAGTGAAGATGAAATGGATGGACAAAGCGATAGTTCGCACGTTTATAACGAGGAACGTGATGAATGTGCGTATATGCTCGTAGTAGAATGATGGTGATGTGGATGTGCAGTTCAATCGTGTTTGTCTTGCATGAATGGGGAAACACGTTCGTAGATTCCCACTTCACCATGGATGGAGAGCAAATGGTGAAGGAAGATCACCATTAAGGTGATTAGAGGAATAAATTTGTTACCGTCCAATGAAACCGAATCATACATTTTGAACCATGGAATGATTGACCGTATTCATCGCGCTCTTTACTCTGATCGGATTTGATTGTGTTTGGATATATGGTATTCGGTTACCATCCTTCTAGCGTTTGAATCGAAATTAACGTCTCTCGTTCAAAGTAATCTTGAGGGCCACGGAAATCATCTTGTGGGTAAAGTCTTGCTCGATGCAAACGGCTGCGGCAATTTCTCAATCATGTTCTTTCAGGATTCGGTGAATAAAAAGTCAGGATAAGCTCGCGTTATCCCGTAATAAAAAGGTGGGATGTTTCCTCTAGTCCGCTTCACGATAGGCTAGTCAAGAAGTGCTCTGTAGAAATGAGTGGGGGAGCTCCTCCTTTTTCTTTGGTTGGTAAAACCATGTGAAGCTATTTTGACTTTTGTATGTTCAGTGTTTACGTACGTCTTCAGGGCCTGTGGACTCAACTCCGACTCGTTATTGGGCTTCATATAGCTTTTTGGGCCTGCATGGCCCTTAGTTTGGGTCGGTACTCATCATGCAGGCCTATCCAAGGCAAAACCACTGTTATGATGTTTGCCTGAGAGAGAGAGAGAGAGCGAAAGGGAGGAGAGAGAGAGATGACGACGATGACGAAATCTCATGCCGCCACCGCCACCATCGCAAGGGTTACCTGAGAAACGAGACCACTAGGTCTGTCAGCTGCAACAACACGCAATCATCGAAAAAAGTCTGCTCGAATATCACCTGACTACGAAATAAAAGTTGAAACGATACAGAGTATTCGGAGATTTATACTCTCTAATCCAACTTGGTGTCTAGATTATTGTATGTGCCCTCCCAAGAACCCCCAATAGACATGCACAAAGAAGTGCTTTTTTTTTCCTTTCCAATTGCCCCGTACACGCATTAAGGGGAAAATTACCAAAATAATCCTAAATCCATTGTAATTGTACTAATTCAGTCTTAAACATTTTGCATTTGTGCCAATTCAGTCCATCTAGCCAATTTTAATCAGCCGGTGATGCCGGCTGTCAGGCCAACGCTGACGTGGTAAATTTTTTTTAAATTTTTTTTCTTTTTTTTTTCTCCTTCATCTTCTTCAACCTCTAGCCGGACAGGCCAGGAGCTAGGGCCGGCAAGGGCGAGCCTCGCCAAATCTGGCGAGGTCTTGTCCTCACCAGTCGCTTCGAGTGAGGCCGACCTCATCAGTTGCTGACAAGGACGAGCCTTAACTAGCGACAGCGAGGACGGCCTCGCTCGACTTGGCCAGCGACGGCAAGGACAAGACCTTGTTAGATCTGGTGAGGCTCACCCTTGCCGGTCGCTGGCGAGGGCTCGTCCTCGTCCTTGTCGGCAATTGGCTAGGTCAGCCTCGCTCGAAGTGACTGGCGAGGACAAGACCTCGCCAGCAGCCAGCGGGGCCGACCTCGCCGCCCAAGTCTCTGGCCGGTCGCAGGTCCGACGACTGGCTGGAGGTTGAAGAAGATGAAGGAGAAAAAAAAAAGAAAAAAAAAGAAAAAAATTAAAAATTAATAAAAAAAAATATTTGGAAAAAATAATTTTTTTGCCACGTTAGCGTTGGTCGGACGGCGTCCACGTCAGCACCAGCCTGCCAAAATTGGCCGGATGGATTGAATTGGCATAAATGCAAAAGGTTTAGGACTGAATTGGCACAAAAAAGGGATTACGACTGAATTGACATAATTGCAATAAGTTTATGACTATTTTGGTAATTTTCCCCACATTAAGGGACAACCTTCCCAAAAGAATATCGTAATTACAAAAAAAGTTATGAACTTATTGTGCGGATGTCAATTCAGTTTTAAACCTTTTAATTTGGTTAATTTGCTCGTAAATCCTTTTAGAACCGAATTGGTATATGTACAAAGCAACAGATTCCAAAATAAGGGCCCGAAATACCCTCGTCTTCTTTTTTTTTTTTGGTCAACACCCTCGTCTTCTTTAACGATAATAGAAAGCATCAAGGTTCATAAAATCCGCATTTTAAGTTTAACAACGAAAGAATAGACCAAAAGAAAAAGTCTAGGGAAAATTACAAATAAGGGCTTAAAGTGGACATTTCAATCTCAAATAAGGGTTTGACCTCGCCAGTCGCCAACCGGCTTTATTCTAGCCAATCAAAGGCATTTTCGTTCAAAAATAATTTTAATTTTAAATTATTTTTTTATTTTCTTTTTTCTTATTTTTCTTTGGCCACTGGCCCTTCGCCCCTCGCTTAGCCCTCTTTGGGCATCGCTGGTGGCCAGCCATCGCTTGAGACCGCCACCGGCGAAGAAGAATGAAGAAACCAGTAAAAGGGCAAAAAGAGAGAAAAAAGGAAAAAAAAAGAAAAAAGAAAGAAAAAAAGGAAAAAAATAAACCAAAAAGGGTAAATGACGAAAATGCCCATGATCAACTGAAAGTCGGGCTTTTCTTTGAAACTATTTTAATCACTTCATGTCTTTATTTAAAACAAGATCCGCTGCATGGCCTTATTTGAGAAAATAAGCGATGCTCCGTGCCCTTATTTAAATTGAAATAAGGTCACTTTACGCCGTGATTTGGAATTTCCTCGAAAGTCTACCTAGGAAAGGAAAGATTATCCAACGATCATAGAATGTTAATGACGTGGCAGATACAGACAGCCAGGTCATGCGAACGTCAGACACATATCGAGCATCCCTTCCCATGTTCTGGTCTTACACTCTTCGCAGCCCGCAGAAGACAGTGCCATAAAAAACTAATCTTCCTCATCTACCGCGAGGCCAACCTTGCCAACCTCAAGTCCGACCAAAACCGAATATTCCGTCTCCCGCTCGCTCCCTGACAGCATCGGATCCCGGCCGGAACGTCCCGATCGGCGACGGGGGACGGCGATGATCGTCCGGAGAGCTTGGCACGACCTGCGCCGGAGTTGCCGCCGGCGGTGGCCGATCCCGGTCGCCCGTCAGGTTCCATGTCCGGCGCCGGAGGTCGGGGGGCCTCCGGCTCGGGGCGGCGGCGCGAAGCCGGGCCGCTCTTCTCCGCTCGCGGCCGCGGCGTTTCGCTCCAGCGGTCTTGGAGCCCGAGTGAGTTTCTTATCTCCGGCACGCCGGCGTGTGGTTTTTCTCGAGATTCTTAGTTTCTCTGAGTTCGGTCGTTGCGGCGACGTGTGAGGATTCTTTTGTGTGGGCGACGGAAGAGTGTCGGTGAATTCTGGTTTGAGGTGCGGTGATTACCGAAATCGATTGTTTTCGATGGTTTTTGAGTTGTTCTTTTCTGCTTCGGTTGTGTAGTTCGAAGATTTCTGTGGAATGAAGTCGCGTGGCTTGTCGAGCGATGCGTTGAGGGATGTTCCTGTGGCTGGAATGGTCGATGTGCCGTTGGCACAGACAGGCGAAGGCATCGCCGAGTGCGAGCTTCTCAAATGGTTTGTTCAAGAGGTGAGTCCGTGAAGCCTAGCTTTGAATCTTTACTCTGCTATCTCTGTGTGCATTTGGAGATGAGTACACTTGTCGAGCAGAACTTGTCTAGCCATAGATGAAGCGTTGCCGCGGAATTGTTAGTCTTCAAAGATTGTTGTTGTAGCTACGTGCTGATAAAGGGAAGAACATTTGTTCTCTTGCTAGGTAGATTGGTATAGATGAGTGATTTCTGCAAATACTGATGTTTAACCGAATCACGGAAGTACGCTGTATTAACGAGCGTCTTACCTCTGTTCACCCACAGGCACACACGCGTATGGAGATATAAAATGCGAAAAATGAGTTGCGATATTTAGGAATTGACATTTTATTCTGGCAGGGGGATCTGATCGAAGAATTCCAACCACTCTGTGAAGTTCAGAGTGACAAAGCGACCATAGAAATAACAAGTCGGTACAAAGGAAAAGTTGCCCATATCAATCACGTTCCTGGTGATATAGTGAAGGTAAGAATTAGCCAATATGTTGTTTTCTTCTGGAGCCCAGGCCTGTGTTTTGCACGTGATTGTTAATCCAGAGTTATTATCTGGTAAAGCATTAAAAACATAGAGAGGAAACGGATAAAAAGGATCATTGTGGAGATACGGAACGAAATTGTTGTTACAGAACTTGGAAAGAATGGCATGTCAACTTTTAAAATAACATTACATATTTGAAGGAATCACATGTCAAACCTACATGATCAGCATTGCATTCATAGGATGTTATTGAGACTACACATCCTTGACAAGCATATAGGCATCAGGAATTTGAGAAATAGGCGAAGTGTAGATCTTAGCATTAATCTGAGTTCATTTAGATTATATTAATATTTTAGGGATGCCTTTGTTATTAAAGATTTGTTCCTCCGTTTTCTGAGTTAGCTTTTATCTGTAATCTACAGGAAGGCACTCTACCTAGTTTTTATGCTTTAAAGTTTGCTAACTGTAGGTTGGAGAGACTCTTCTAAAGATGGCTGTTGAGGAGCCACATCTTCTGATGGAGGCTTGTGATCGTTTAGAAAATGTCAATTCTCCAACTTCTGAGATGATAAAAAGCAAAAAATGTGGAGTCCTGTCAACACCAGCAGTTCGAGGTCTTGCCAAAGAATATGGCATAGACATAACTGATGTGCATGGTACTGGAACAGATGGCAGAGTGCTAAAGGAAGATGTTCTTAGATATGCTACTGACAAAAGAATTATGGAAGGTAGTTCTGCCTCTCTGGGTACTGATCACGAGGATCAGTTTTTGGGAGGGGCACAGACTCGCCAAAATGTATCAGCTAAATCTGGATGGCATTACAATGATGAAACGATTCCCTTGAGGTAATCTTTGATTTAGCATCACAAATGTGAGTTAGTCACGGAAACTGTGGTATTGATAATGTTTTCACTGTTTCTGTCTCTTTCCAGGGGTATTGCCATGCCCTGGATTTTCTACAAATGAATTTGGGATCGATCAGGGCTAATTTTCCTCAGTTAGATTGTTATGTGTGAATAGTATATGTAAGCTTATAGATCTCTGATAAGATCTCATAGATAAGCCTCCTTAACTTGGTTGCGTAATTTAATCATTTGTTTCAGGTAGATGATCTGGTTATTTCCATTGTCCAGGTGCAGCTTTCTTCGCGAAGTTCTGCTTGACTTTTTGACATTATTTACTCTGTAAAGCAACGATAAAGGATTAAACAAAATTAACTGCTGGGCTGCCTAAAATTCTAGATAATGCTTAATTTGTTAGATTCATCTGTTACTGTTTTTGTCTTCCCCTCTTGTTGTTCAGCATTCTTGAGTGAAGAATTTGGGCGGAATGAGGTTCTTTTAGTAGCTCAGTAAAGTTTATTTAAACTGAGTAGCTCTAACGTGTCCTTCAGGGGATTCCAGCGAGCAATGGTCAAATCAATGTCCTTGGCTGCAAAAGTACCCCATTTTCATTATGTGGAAGAGATAAACTGTGATGCTCTGGTGGAGCTTAAAGCATCTTTCCAGGACAATAACACAGATCCAGATGTCAAGCACACTTTTCTACCGTTGTTGATAAAGGCACTTTCAATGGCTTTAAGCAAATATCCCATTATGAACAGTTGCTTCACTGAGGAATTATTTGAAGTCATCCTTAAAGGTTAGCTGATCTTTTGCATGGGGATTTCTAGTTTGACTTGACCCTGTGAATGCTAGAAATTAGTCTTGATTGAGCGATTTGTTTCTGGTTTTCTTAGAATTACAAGAAAAACTGAATGTTCTTTCCTGCAGGTTCACACAATATAGGAATTGCAATGGCTACTCCAAACGGTCTTGTTGTACCAAACATTAAAAATGTTCAGTCTCTGTCTATCTTGGAGGTTAGTTTTAGTATATTCACATAAGTGATGTTGTATGTTACCTCTCTTCATTCAATTATTAAATTATTTATTTCCAATTATCTGGAAGTTTGTCACTTCTTTATTGTGAAAAATTAATGACGAGAAAATTGAGGAGACAACATGACGAGTGAGTGACCTTTCTTTTTGTAATCCAGATTCCAATCTGTTTGATGTTGTTCATGCAGAGCACATAAAAGAAGTCCTCAACAAATGTTTCTTGCCAGCATTTATCTCTTTCGATATCTAAGCCCACATCCAGTTGCTAGAATTGCTCATGCACTATAACATTTAGATGAAACACTGCCGCTTAATTGAACTGCACCTCTCCCCCAGTAACAGATGAATCTTAAAATGGTTTGAATGGTGGAGTTTTCTTTTTACTAATAAGAACCATACCAACAGGCAACAAGAAGCCACTGCTTTAAAGCTAACGCTTGTTTATGATGTGATCAGATAACAAAGGAGCTGTCACGGTTGCAACAATTTGCCTTGACTAACAAGCTCAATCCAGAAGATATATCTGGCGGAACGATAACGTTAAGCAACATTGGAGCAATTGGTGGGAAGTTTGGTTCCCCCCTTCTGAACTTGCCTGAAGTTGCCATCATTGCTATTGGGCGGATCCAGAAGGCTCCACAGTTTGCAGATGATGGAGATGTGTATCCAGTATCTATCATGACTGTAAGTATAACAATTTTCAGAAGGGAATAGAAAGAACATGTTGCATTGCTTGCAAAGAATAGCATCTCGATCTGGTTAGCTGCATTCAATAGGCCACGCGACATAAGTAATGGGACAGCATGAAATCTCATCATTTGACGAGTAAATCATCCTGTCTGACACAAGTCTTGTTCCTTGAATCAGGTAAACGTGGGTGCGGATCACAGAGTCCTGGACGGAGCTACGGTGGCCAGATTCTGCAACGAGTGGAAGCGATACGTGGAAAAGCCGGAGTTGCTGATGCTGCAAATGAGGTGATCCTGCAACAAATACAGGTCACCATATCTCCTTAGTTGTCTGTGTATATGCTGTAGATGGCAATAAAAAGAGCAGTTGTAGTTTCTCGGGTGAACCAACAGAATACCTACATGTCCGAAAGGACGAAACATCAATTGTTATGCAAGTGCTGGGGTTGAAATGATTCCCTGGCGAGACCGAGAAATGCCATCGGACTTTCCCAATGACACAACAGGGCGAAGTTGTCTTAGGACACTGTTGCGTCCCACATAGGGATTGAGCATGAAGAGAGAGGAGGTAGGGAGAGAATAAGGGTCAGTCTTGCGTGCTATTGCGACGTACTTACCTGGACGGGATTGTTGGGCGATCAGGAAGGTCCATGGCCTATGTTAGTGACCTCCATTGCACTTTGCGGAGGGGTGCTACTCTAAGGTCAGCCCAAAGCGGCTGAGCCTATGTCATAATTTGTGGCAGCGGGGGCCTGCGTTCGCGCGGCCCCTGTCCAAATCGTCAGTCCAATTATAACATGGGGTCACGTTGGGTTAATTCATGCATGCAAAGCTTAAATCTCTGCTTATCTGACATTGTCTTGGGTCAAGCGTCCTTGTTCTTAAGGTTGACTATCTCTGATCAGAGTAGATCTGCATGTGTTGGTACGAATTGGTCGCAGCTTCAAAGAAAGTTGGACTATTCAATTGCCATTTTTTTTCCATCTGCAGGGGGCAAGTTCCAATTTGTCGAACGAACGCCGCCGAAAAGAAAGAAAGAATGTTTCTTAGCATTAAAAGAAATGGTTATACAAAAAATCCTAAACTGGTACACTTGTGACAAATTTACCCTAAACTAATTTTTTGATCACCAAAAACCCCAAACTAGTACACTTGTAATAAATTTACCATCTGTTAGTTTACGTTAAATTTTACTGTCAAATTGCTTAGTTAAATGAAACATGATAGTTGGTTTTACCCTCCGTTTATTACAGGTGTACTATTTTGTGGTTTTTTTTAATTAATTAAATTTAATGGATGGTAAATTTGTCACAAATGTATTGGTTGGGGGTTTTTTGTGGTCAAAAAATCAGTTTTGGATAAATTTGTCACAGGTGTACTAATTTGAGGTTTTTCATGATATTAACTCTAAAAGAAAAGTAGCGCGCGATCTGCTCTATGCGCGCCGTCATGGCACTTTAATGGCCGACCTGTTCGTTGCCGTTTTGATAGCACGCTAGTGATCGCTATGTCTAGATTTATAGTTTGAAAAAATTGCACCTACCAAAATAGGATTTCAAATGCGACCTATCATGGAGAAAACATGACATAGGAACAGTTTCCACGCATGAATAAATTGAAAAGGGAAAGAGCGGACGGAAGTAACCTACCTATAAGGTAGTGGAGATTTTTATTTATTTTTTATATAGTAAAATGTTGAGTTAGATAAAATCGAATTGAGTAGTAGTCAGATATAGGGGTGAGCATGGTCTAGGTGGACGGTTCCCACCCCTGAACAAGGGACCGCCTATTAAGGATCGGTTTTGAAAAATTGGAATTTGAAACCGGACCGCGGACCCGGGTGAGTCCATGGAATCGGTCCTCAATTCCAATCCCTTTGGTAGGATAAGTCAAGCCATGAGATAAGATTCGTGAACTCCAAAGTCCATACAACACTCAATTAGATTGGCTCTTGAAAATGCTCTGTGACGAAGGTCGCTGAGGGCCCTCTCCATATGATCGTCCTTTGGCCCTGACTATGAGAAATAATCCAATCGAACCCCCGCCAAAATAATTCAAGTTGTTAAATACCCCTCATGTTCTTTACCGTCCCTCACATGTTTCGAGTGGGATGCAGTAGCTAAGATGCCAAGATGCGGTCAACGCTCATGTCTCACCGCCGCTTTCGCCATTGGCGTGAAACAAGATCTCCTCCGTTCGATTGTGTTCTCCAACTATCACAACCAAAAGAGAGAATTTTTATCGCGTTGGCAAGAAGAATTTAAGGAATCGAATACAAGACGTCACGACTTCATTTTTACATTAAATAGAGTGGGCAACTGATTACTTAAGGAGTGTAATTAACTTTCTAGTAAATGACATGAAACACATTTGAGTTCTTAACATTTTGAATTGTGGGTGCACTTGTGTGTACCTACCGGTCCAGTTTGGGTCGGCGGGTGAGCAATTTCACGCCTGGAACCGGGAACCAGACTAGTCCCCATGGAAACTGCCGGTTCCGATCCAATTCCGGGCGGTTTCCGATTCCTTTGCACACTCCTAGTCGGAGACACCAAAAAGGTGATCATTCCCTTAATAGTAGTACTAGTTGTTATGGACATGCTAGGCTCGGAGGGAAATTACCAAAAAAGTTATAAACCTATTACATAGGTACTGATTCAATCATATACTTTTCAATTGAACCAATTTAGTCCTAAACATTTTTATATTAGTACCAATTTAGTCCATTCGACCAATTTAGATCAGAAATAACTGACGTGGATGCTGGCCGTCCTACCTGATACAGCCGGCGCTGATGTGGAATTTTTAAATAATTTTTAATAATTTTTTTTTGAATTTTGAATTTTTTTTCCTTTTTTTTTTTTTTTTTTCCTTTCCTTCTCCTTCCTTGGGCATGTGGCAGGTGGCCATGGTCGGCGAGGGTAGCCTCCGCCAGGCCGCGAGGGTCCAATCGTCGCCCTTACTGGCAAGGGTGACCCTCTGCTGTGGCAGGCGAGGGCCGTGACGCCCTCGTTGGCCGTCGCCTATGGCTGATCACCGGCCATGGTCACAGGCCCAAGGAAGGAGAAGGAAGGAAAAAAATAAAAAATAATAAAAAAGGAAAAAAACATTAACAATTCAAAAAAAATTATTAAAAATTGTCCATATCAGCGTTGGCGGTGACACATAGGACGGCCGATATATATGTGAGCGATTTCGGGCCTAAATTAGCCGAATGGACTGAATTGGTACCAATGTGAAAATGTTTAGGACTAAATTGGTCCAATTGAAAGGTTTATGACTGAATTGGTACCAATACAATAGGTCTAGGACTTTTTTGGTACTTTTCCCTAGGCTCATACATGATTATGTTTTATTTGTTATGCAACATCATAACGAATTGATAATAAAAATTCAAACTTATAAATAGATGCTGAAATTAAATACTTGATGTTATTCTCTCGACTACTATACCAATTCTATTGATGAAAAATAATCTACCAATTTTTCCTTCTATTTTGATTGTCAAGTAAAATTTTGGGTTTCAACTTGTAAATAAGGGAGAGGAAGACATAACCGTGCCACAAGCAATGCATCAAATGGGTAAGTGCAAGATAGACAAGAGATTGAAGTTGTTTTACATCTTTAACCTCATTTATTATTTGATGTCTTCGTGAGAAAATGGATAATTTGGAAAGTAAAAAAATGACACCAACTAACCCTGATTTTTCCCTTAAGACTCCGTTTATTTCGTGAAAAATAAATAATTTGAAAAATATTTTCTTAAAAATGATTGCTTGTATTGTTTACAAAAATGAATGAGTAGAAAATATTTTCATTGTTCACGAAAATGTTCACACATAAATTATTGTCGATGATGAAAACATTTACTATCGACTATGAGATCTCAACCCTCTAATCTCTCCATTTATAGGGTAGCATAGATAGTATAAATAGATATATTGATGCGATCCTCGTGTGTCTAGTGTGATATATAGTACAATTAGCACAATACTTTTGCTATGATTTAAATATATTTTCCCCAAAAAAGAAAAATTGAAAGCTATTCTTTTGATATATAGAGTTTGGATTAACGTGTTATTGTGGGTTCCTAGATTTTGATTCGTAACGCATTAATTACTTTGGAAAAATGTGGGCTCTTCCCCCTCCACCCCATAAATACGTCTCGTTTTCTATCTCTTCTATCCCAACCTCAACAAACCACATGAACTCCACTCTCTTTGATCGCATTGCCCATATTTCTCGAGCATCATCAACCTTTAAAAAAAAACATCATGGACGTGTTCAGCTACACGAATGAATACATTTCGACATTTCCTCCGACAAGATTGTTCAAGGCCCTAGTTCTGGACTTCAATAACCTAATTCCCAAACTTATCCCTCAAGCCATCAAGAGTATTGACATCATCCAAGGCGATGAAGGGGCCGGAACCATTAAGCAGATCAACATTATCAGAGGTAAATATTTGCTATACGAATGCGCTTTTCTCTTTTTAGCTTAAGCATATGTTATGGCATATGCACGTATGCTATGTCTGATCTCCTATTGGGTGCAGGCAGTCAGCTTATCGGCGTCAAGAATCGCGTGGATGAGCCGAATGAGGAGATATTCGCGTATAGGTACTCCTTGATTTGATCAATCAGAAGGAGAAGTTTGAATCTATTGTTCACGAAGTCAAACTTGAGCCAACGCCGGAAGGAGGGAGCAAGAACAAGCTTACAAGCAAGTACTACACCAAGGGCGATGTTGAGCTCAAAGAAGAGGACATTAAGGCGGACAAAGAGAGATTCTTGGAAATATAAAAGGTCGGCGAAGCATACCTCCTCCAAACCCCCGATGCTTATGCTTGAACCTTCTAAGGCTCTCTTAAATAAGATTGAGAAGTGCCGTCAATAAGTACTCACATTATTATTTGCATTATGTTGGAAGTATCCAAGTTATGTCGCTTCTATATGCCTATAAACGTCCCTTAGATATGGCTTGTGGGGTTTTTGCTATAATTTGTCTCATGCGTCATGATATGAATGTCATATGCTTTCTCACTCCTCTTTATATTCGAAAGTTCAACTACGAATAATACATGAGTGGATTATAATAAATTTGTACTAGGCATATATTCTCTGTGAGTACATATACTAGCATAAACCTCGCATTATTTTGCTTTTGTGATTATGTAAGTTTAATTCGTTACTAAAATCTATTATAGTCATATGATACAAGTGAAGTGTCTTATAAAATAGGGGTGAGCATTGGTCTATGGTCAACCCAAGATCGGCTCAACCCAGCCGGTCTTGGTCCGGTTCCCAAGGGGATTGGGCTGGTCCCTGAACCTGTGACCCCTGGACCCTATATTGTGCGGATTGGTCCTTGGTCCTGGGACTTTAGGGTTGGTCGGGGTTGAACCAACCCTGTATACATTTATATTATATATTATATATTTTTGTTTACTCTAAACCCTAGTGCCTCTGCCTTTGTTCCTTCTTATGTGGTTTTG